CCGAAGGCATGAGTTTCCTAAGATTCAAGAAGGCTGCATGCTTGTCGAAGATCGCTGTTCTGGCGCGTATTCATTTTGGTATAACGTGTGCGGGTTCCGCGATTGCTACTGCTTGCGGCTGCCCGCGAGGGCTTTTTGAGGTTATGGAAAGGGGGAAAATATGTACATTTTGTTTTGCCAATTTGGGGTAGGCCGGAGCACTCAAACATGGGGTCCCTGGGATGCTTGGCGCAGTTCACCGTTGTCGTATATGTACATTTCAATACCACGTTCAGCACTTTTCGAAGGCCTGAGTTTCCTAAGATTCAAGAAGGCTGCCTTTCGGGTGCCTTACGGGTGCTTTGACAACGACATCCTTCGGCCGCTTGGAGCAACTGATTGTTTTCGTATCCGCACTTTTCAATAGCAAATGCACACTTTTCGAGGACAGATTTGTTCTTGCATTTTGGTGTGGGCGATTTGCGGATGCCTTTCGGGTGCTTTGCGGGTGCCTTAGGGGTGCTTTTCGGGTGCTTTGACAACGACATCCTTCGGCCGCTTGGAGCAAATCATTGTTGTCGTACTCGCACGCTTCAATGGGAAATGCACACTGTTCGAGGATATATTTTTTCTTGCATTTTGGTGTGGGCGATTTGCGTGTGCCTTTCGGGTGCTTTGCGGGTGCCTTAGGGATGCCTTCCGGATGTTTTACAGATGCCTTGGGGTGCCTTTCGTGTGTTGTTGTTCTAGTCTGTCCCTTTGCCATAATGTGTCCTTTTGTCCCTTTTGTCTCTGTTGTCCCCTTCGTCCCCTTTTGTTTCCTTGTGTCCCCTTTGTCCCCTTTGTCATTTCTTGTCTCTTTTGCCCCCTTGTTGGGTCCCTTTGTCATATGTTGTCCCGTTTGTCCCTTTTGTCACCTTTTGTGCCCTTTGTCCCCTTTTGTTCTCTTGTGTTCCATTGTCCCCTTTTGTCCCTCTTGTCTCCCTTGTCCCTTTTGTATCCTTGTTGGCTCCGTTTGTCCCCTTTGCCTTCTTTTGTCGCGCTTGTCTCTTTTGTCTCCTTTTGTCCCCTTGTGTCCCCGTTGTCCCCTTTTGTTCCTCTTGTCCCGTTTGTCCCCTTTTGTCCCCTTTGTCCCCTTTATCCCTTTTGTCTCCTTTGTCCCCTTTGTCCCCTTTGCCCCCTTTTTGTCTCCTTTGTCCCTCGAGATGCTTATTGGATATCTCCCAAGGCGTAAGAAAACAAAAAAAGAGAAACACCAGGGAGACACCAGGAACATATCGTGAGTTCAGCGTCCTCCGAGGCCCAGGGGGAACACCAGAAGGAGCAGGAGGAGGAGCACGAGGATCAGTACGATGGGGGAGGGGGAGGATGGGAGAGAGAATGACCAGGCGGACTTCTGTTTTGTCCCCTTTGCCTTTCAAAATGCTTATTGGAGATCGCCCAGGGCTGGAGAAAACAATGAAAAAAGGGAGACGCGAGGTAGACACCAGAGAAATATATAGTGAATTCAGCGTCCTCCGAGGCCCAGAGGAGCACCAGAAGGAGCAGGATGAGGAGCAGGAGGATTAATAGGAGGGGGAGGAGGAGGATGAAAGAGAAAAGGATGAGGCGGAAGAGGAGGAGACACAGCGTCCTCCGAGCGCTCTGGGGGGCCCTTTTCCGAGTGACATGCGGATTGCCTTTCGACCGCTCCCGGGGTGCTCATCGGGTGCCTTGGGGGTGCCTTCGGGGTGCCTTTCGGGTGCCTTTCGGGTGCCCTCGGGGTGCTCATCGGGTGCCTTTTGGGAGCCCTCGGGGTGCCCACCGAGGACAGTTAATCAGCAGCTCAGGGTACTCGGAGGACGTTGAACGCACGACATCTCTCGGTGTCCTTGGTGCCTCCCTTTCCCCCTATTCGCAATGTTTTTCTTGTTTTTAGGCCCTGGCAGACCTCCCGTAAGCACCCCGAGAGCACCCGAAAGGCACCCGAAACGTACCCGAAAATATCGTAATGTGTCTTGGGCAGTTTCCCCTTATCATCGTTGCAAACATAGTTGTTCGAAGTTGCTGTCGCCAGTTTCTTGGAATTCCACCGCGTAATTCCACTGTTCGGGTATACACTTAGTTGTGGATGATACCAGTCATGACAAACACCACAAAGCCTGCATATACGTACTCAGCAACACCATCTGGGCAACATAGCGTGTTCAATTATAGTCTCAGGATTTGCCCTCCCCGTCCGAATGCGCTGCCGCTGATGCTGCTTATGCCATTAGCGGCGTTGTGGTGGGGGGAACAAGCTGCGACCGTGCAGTCGGCGAGGCTGCGAACATATGTGTTCGAAGTTGCTTCTTTAGATTTCGTTCGCATTGGTTATATCCGTAGTCGTTTGGGCTCAAGATGTGGTTTGAACAAGCATACTGGCGTGGACTCAGAAACCCAGCACGGGAACCAAGCAACGGGAACCAGCAAGGAACCCAACAAAGAAACCAACCAAAGGGAACCAGCAAGAGAGCCCAGCAACAGTGTAGTGTATCATGCATTGTTGTATTATTTACATATTGTTTACTACTAAAACACCTTGCCGCCATGTGGTCTCAAGCGAGGTTGACGCACTCTCCAGTCGTCCCTGGATTATCAAGAGTGCTTTCATCTCCACAGCAACAGACACCACACGCGATTCGCTCGCGATGGCTGTTCTCTGCTTGAGTTTTGATCGGTCAAATTCGCCGCGATATTCGTATGATTCTGAGACGATCTTCCATCAAATCTTTCGCTAGATCTGATGATCTAAGACCGTTGTTCTCGATGTGATTGTTGTCGATTTGAATATGACAACTGATCGAAGAAGTTGTGGTCGTATGATAATTTCCTAGATCGCGCTGCCGATTGGTAGATTGGCCTGTTCGGGCGGGGTGTTACAATTAAGGTGTTTCCTGAATCGGTCTTTGTTCCCGATTCCGAGGGTGTCCTTCGTATTCAACAGGGTCTCACACTGCACCGTCGCAGTGGATTTCTTGAGACTCTTGACGATGAAATCGATAGCCACTGGGCGAAGGAGACGAACAGCTGCGATTGCCTTAGCGCAATCAGATTTGATGCGCTTTGATTGCTTCAGTTGAGTCCGGTTAGGCACTGATTCCGATGCGATTTGTGTTCATGTTCGCGAAAGCCGCAAGGTGCATGATCAGATTTCGGTTGTTTTTTATTCAATGTTTTCGTCCGCTCAGGTGCCGGCCGCGTCGAGGGCAACATTGAGTCGGACGTCGGCCGCATGGCCGACCTCGACGATGAGTATGCGTTCGCTGCAGAAGACGAGGGAGTCCTCGAGGAACGCGATGATGACTTGGAATTCTATGAACGGGTGAGCCGGCTGAGTTCAACGGCTTGCCCCGATCCCGCATCAATCGGCCCTTCGAGTTCGCAGACGGATACTGAGAGCAGAAACTCGTCCCAGGAGGAATCGGGAGAAGTGTCCAAAGACAAAGGGGCCCTGGTGCGCGTGGACAGCTGGGGGACTTCATATCACATTGGGGACGCTGTGTATTACATTGTGAAGGACGAAGACAATGCTTACGGCATGATCGGTAAGATCGCAGGCCCCAGCGTGTTCTTCGGGAACGACTCGGTACTCGTCAAGTTCAAAAAAAAAAAAAAAAACATGACAAAACCTGAAATGGAAAAGACTGGGGGCTGCCCAGCCACAAGAAAAACAAACGAGTCAGGCTGCTTAGAGGCCTGGTGCAGCAATCGCGGCCTAAGATGGGCTCACGTTGGAACGTGGCCGGAGAAGTAAGAAAGGGCACCCCTCAGAAGTTGCTCTGCCTCAAGAACTTGAAGTGCACGTAGCAGAGTTGCTCGAAGTATGCAGCCACCCAACTGGAATACCTGAACACATATGGAAACGGCAATGTCGGGACTGCCGCATGAACGGAATAAAGGCAGGCTACTTCTTCCGTCCCGGGTAAAGCTGAGGCCGGCCAGATTTGGGTCCAGTTCAAAAAAGCATAAGCCTTAAATTCCTTCCGAAACGATGATTCATACTTGTAATCTTTTTTATTTGATCGGGGACGATAGATCATTGCGATGAGTGCATCGATGTCTGATTTTGTGTTGTAGATGTGATATTTGTTTGATCGGGGGGCCCAACATTGCGATGGTTGCATGTATTTGCGCGCTGGTCTACCAGGGATAACTATCATTGCAGGACGTCGGAGATTCATCATTCCAACCCGTCAACGTGGAAGAAAACGAGGCGGCTTGCCAGACTTTCCATTGGGCTGAATAGAGAATCTGCGTCAATAGAGAGCCCACAGGTGACTCCAACGGCGCCGACGAACGACGACATCGCGCAGACCAGCGCGGAGCAGGACGACAAGGATAACATCGACGACCTTCCTGGGACGATCCCCAAGTTGACCAGAGGTCGAGCCTACGGATACAGACAACAGCGGAGCGTCTTGCCAAACACTTCTGGAAAATCTGCTGCAGGACGGAACAGGAAAACATACTTAACATCATATTATTACTGTTGATTCGAATCAACACTGAAAGCTATTGTTGAACATCCCTCAGGAAAACCAGGCGCGAGTTGGAGGCCGCTAAGAAAGACGAACGCGAGTCGGAGGCCGCCAAGAAAGCCGAGCTCGAGTCGGAGGCCGCGTGCTTCTCAATCGGATTGTTGCTGGCCACAGAGATGATCTGCAGGGCACGTAAAACAACCATGATCTACTGCAACGACCAGGACATGGCCGAAAGCGCAGACGACTGCGAAGCACGTGAGGACACCGTCGGAACTGTTTCCGCCAAGATGTTTTCAGGCGGCGCGGAACCGCTCGAGCTTCCCTGCGCGGTGCCTCGGCCCAAGAAGACCGCCTTCGCGAACGTCTCGATCGGCGCCAGAATGTTCGTACTTGCTCTGCTCGGCACAGCGCTCGGTTGATCCGATTTTGTGTTTGTAGATGTGATATTTTGTGGTCGACAGGCTTCAAGATGTCTGTGGCAACCTCAGGGCAATCGCCCTGGACTGCTGCCATCTGGCCATGGTCTACGAGCAGGCCAACTGGGAGAGGAAGAGCCCAGGGAGCATTGACATTTGCAGAATCGTTGCGAAACTGGAAGCAAAGTACGGCGCTGGACCTCGCGGGGAATTCTTCGACGGCACGAACGCCGCCGCGTCCACGCGGGGCGAGGAGATTGCCCGCGGTGGCATCGGGCGCAGAAGACCCACTGCCAGGAAAGCAAAGCCCGTCCTGGACGACATCGACGTGAGCAAGCCCTTCCAGACTCGCACCGGAGTCGTGCGATGCATAGAGGCCGTTGCCCGCGTGCACCACAGGGAGATGAAGACGCTGCCTTCAGGCAAGACGAGGTTGCAGATGCTCAAGTGCGCAGCCCAACCAGAGATGCTGGAGTGGATGCTGAATGCGGCCCGGATTCGTTCAAGGATGACGCGGGAAGAGCGCGTCCTAATGCCCGCAAATTTCTGGGGGCCTTTGGAAGCGTTGTTGTTTGTTCCGCAAGTCGGGGCACCGTCGAGATGCGAAGTATGGTTCGTCAACTTTGCATCGCGACGCAAGCCTCGAAACCAGGATAAGCAGACAACCACGCTTTCAACGGCGGCCGCGCCACAGGCACCACATCGAACGAGTCCTTCCACATGGAGCTCAAGCGGTGTTTTTTTGGCCAGAGCATGCACCCATGCATGCTTGCCCTAAAGCTCGCCGTCATCCACACCGCCAAGCTGATGGCGCATAATTCGGCTCTGTGCCGCAAGACGCTGGCGCAGGTGCCGCAGAGCCGCCTGCTTCATCGCCTGGTCGGGGCGATGGAACTGTTCAGCCTGGCAAGCTGGGAGCGCTGGTGCGCTCCTCTTTGCGCTGACGGCGCCGCGCAGAAGGCTCCCTCTCCCTTTGCCGCCGAAAGGAAAGCGTTTCAGGCGCGGGCGTCTGTGGCGCGCAGCGAAAGGCGCTGGTGGGCGCCGCCGCGGCAGAGGTAACCGGAAACGCACTGTGTTTTCTCCCCAGAAGCGCCCCGCCGCTAACTTGTAACTGCGTTCGTGCTGGACCGAGAAACGCAAAGAGAGAACGCATCAGCGGTTGACGAAAGCAGAGTTGTAATCTGAGCGAAGTTGGTGGAATTGGTGGAGCTGGCGGTGAGGGTCTGGGCGATGGGCCTGGGGAGTTGGTGGAGTTGGTGGAGATGGTATAGATGGTGGAGTTGGTGGAGTTGGTCGGGTTGGTGGAGTTGGTGGAAACCGTGAAGACTCACTCCGCCAACTCCACCAACACTACCAACTCTTCAGGGCCAAGTTCACCACCATTTATCAGTTCCACCAACTCCTGGAGTTGGTGGACTTGGTGGAGCCGGTGGAGCTGGTGGAGTTCGTGGAGTTGGTGGAGCTGGTGGATTTGGTGGAGTTGGTGGAGTTGGTGGAGCTGGTGGAGCTGGTGGAGCTGGTGGAGCTGGTGAAGCTGGTGGAGCTGGTGGAGTTGGTGGAGTTGGTGCAGCGTGTGGAGTGAGACCAGCCTGTGGAGTCTCACTCCACCAACTCCACCAATTTCACCAAGTCCACCAAATCCACCAACTCCACGAACTCCACGAACTCCACCAGCTCCACCAACTCCACCAACTCCACCAACTCCACCAACTCCACCAATTCCACCAACTCCACCAGCTCCACCAGCTCCGCCAGCTTCACCAACTCCACCCACTCCACCAACTTCACCAACTCCACCAACTCCACCAGCTCCTGGAGTTGGTGGAGTTGGTAGAGTTGGTGGAGTTGGTGAAGTTGGTGGAGCTGGTGGAGTTGGTGGAGTTGGTGGAGTTGGTCGGCCCCGCCTCCAATCGAGCACATCCACAAACACGCGAAGCCGATAAAGCAAGCGAAACCATCACTATAGGTAGAATTAACCCTCTCCCGTATGTGTATATCTATATATGCGTATACATACACATACATATATAGATATATCGGCAAGTAAAATATTCACAAGACGCCGGAACCGAAACCCTTGCAAGCGCCGGCGCAGTGAAAACGTCACCCCTGCGAGTCCCCGTGGCCTCCCTTACGGAGGCCCAAGCGTTCCTGGGCCGCAGCAACCTCATTGTTCTTAAGAAGCATGGCGCTTTCCCTACCCCAGATTCAAGACGCCACTCCGACAAGTATGGTTTTCTTCACCGATCGTGTGGCTTTTACAAACGGAAGTGTGCTTTTCTTGAACGAACGTGTGGTTTCCCTCAGCGAAGGTGTGGTTTTCCTGGGAGACGGCGTGGTTTTGTTGAGCGCAGGTGTATTTTCCTATGCGAGTTTGTGCTTGAGGGAGAGGGGATACATGGATGTGTATATAGATATGTATATGCAACCGTGGGAAGAAAAAGAGAGAGAGAGAGAGAAAAAAAAAAAAACAAAAAAAAACTGACACGGTATATATATATAGAGAGAGAGAGAGAGAGAGAGAGAGAGAGAGAGAGAGAGAGAGAGAGAACGGGCCTTTCGACATATCGAGAAAACGAAAGCAACGGAACAAGAGATGGAGGGCGGGTCTCCTCGAGCCGCTCGAGCTCCCTGGCGCCCGCGATTTGCCGTGCTCGCGTCTGTGCGAGCTGCGCCTGCAGGTTGCAGACGTGGACCTGGAGCGCGCGAGAGGGGCACAGTAGACACATACTATCAGAAATCGTGCAACGGTGGGGGCACTGTATATTGAAGCGTTGGGTAATGAATCCAGGGTCTGGAAGCCAGTGGAACTCTAATCGTGGGCTGGCAACGGGTATACCACCGCCGTCCTCGTCAAATGAGGGACCCCCCTGGGTCTGCAGCCTCCTGGGCACATTCCTCAACCAACGCCCCCTTGCCAAATCAGAGATCCTGGGGCACATCGTGCGTCTATCTTTGGGTGCCCTGAGGTATCCCAGAGCGTCTGGGAGTCGTTCGGGCCATCGGGGCATTAGCAATGTCCGCGGGACATCTGCTGGCAAGCCGATCTCATACTTGATGCGCCTACCGTAGGGGGGACTCCTGCTCTCTTTGCCAGGCGGCCGCGTGCGCAACGGCACGGCGAGATCCGAAGCACGAGGGCGCGCGAGGCAGCACGCGGAAAGAGCAGGCAGGAAAGCGGCACGACGAGCAAGCAGCGGCGAGAGACAAGAGCGCGAAGTGGGCCCCAGACGGACGGGATTTGTGCTCCTCCTCCTCCTGACCGCCCCCTCCTTCTCTTCCTCCCTCCTCCCTCTTCGTCCTTTCCCTCCCTCCCGGCGGGCACGACTACCCTCCCAAGTAAGTGTGCACGCACGGCTGTGCAGCACAGTGGGAGCAAGTGCAGGCATCCATACACAAGATTGCCCCTAAACTGGGGCGGGAGAAACCCAACAGGGGCGGACATGCGAGCACTTGCTCTTGCCTGCCAGCAGGAGGCTACGATAAGCAAAGGGAGCCACTGGCGCTGTTAGATTCGACGCTTCTGGGTACACTCCGTAGCGGCCCCCTTAGAGGTTAAGTCCCAGGGAGATCAGACCATCGACGCATGTCCACCATGTGCTGAGACTACGTATCATCGACCCCGTCACCATCATCATCATCACCAGCATCATCATCATCATCAGCATCATCAGCATCATCATCATCATCATCAGTATCATCACCACCATCATCATCATCATCATCATCATCGTCATCAGCATCATCAGTATCATCATCATCATCAGCAGCAGCATTATCATCAGCATCATCAGCACCAGCATCAGCATCATCATCCTTATCACCATCATCATAATCAGCATCAGTCTCATCATCATACTCATCATCATCATCAACAACATCATCGAAAGCATCATCAACATCATCATCATCCCCATCCTCATCCTCATCCTCATCCACTTCCGCATCCTCATCATCATCATCACCATCGTCATCACCATTATCATCCTCATCCTCATCCTCATCGTCATCGTCGTCGTCATCATAATCATCAGCATCAGCATCAGCATCAGCATCAGCATCATCATCATCATCATCATCATCATCATCATCATCATCATCGTCATCGTCATCGTCGTCGTCATCGTCATCGTCATCATCATCGTCATCGCCGTCACCGCCGTCGCCGCCACCCGCATCGCCATCGTCAACGCCATCTTCGCCTTCAATTCCCGCGTCGCCATGACCATCGTCATCATTGTCGTGGCAGCCTTTCAACAAGAAACATCAAGCAAACATATTTGCCACTTGCGTCGCAAAACCATTACCGCTGCCATTCTCTCCATCGGCAGTAGACTCGCAACCAGAATCGCCCTTGCGGTGATCACCCCAGCCACCCAGACTGAGCAAACCAACATGCATGAATGCAAGCGCCACTCTCCCCCATCTGCTGTGGCCAATACACCTCACATTCCCCTCCTCTTACACTTGTGGGGAAACCAAAAGGTACCGATACCGCTACTCCCTGGACCTCTCCCAGGGTGCGTTCTGACCAGAATTTCGAGGCGAATCCAGCGGTGGCGACGAGGGCCTCCCAGGAGGCCCAAAAAGGGGAGAACGGGCGAGGCGGTAGAGGTATGGGTACCTCTTCCTCTTCCGATCTCCCTCTCATCCGACCCTCTTGACTGAACAGTTCCAGAAACCTCGCGGTGGGGTGCCCCTTCCTGGGCCCTGGGGCCCCCGCAACTGGGCCCGAGCCCGGGCCCCCAGCATCCCAGAGAGCTCGGGGAGGTAAGCCGCCCTGATTGTGGCAGGACTCCGTCGGGGCTGCATGCCAAAGCCCTGAGGATCATTCCCCTGACCCCTTCGACCACAGAGCATAGACGTCCGAAAAACTGAATTTAAAATATTGATTTCCGAGCTAAGGGAATGAGCTCCCGTTACTTTGCCCCTCCCCCTCTTGGCGGGAACAAACCCTTAGCCCAAAACGCGTTCCGACCCAGTCAGTGATGCCATGGTTTCGTGGTACGTTCGGGGCAAAAACGGCATGCCGCACGGCGATGACCTTTGTAAAAAGGCGATCGGAGCTGGCTCCTACGCGGCCGGCTCGCGGCCTGAATGCGCGTGCACCGCGCAGCGCGTTGTTCTGAACGCTGGACGCACGTGGAGCTTACTGCGCATGTCTGTCCCGACCACCCGACAACCTTGATCGCAATCCGTAGCGATGTCCTTCAAAGAAACAAGACGTGCTCCCTCATAAACGACCAAGAAACAAAGACACGCGGGGAACAAATATAGAAACAACATGTCAGAAACATCTTGGGAAAACAACTGTACAACCATCAGGGACAAATCCGGAAAATGCGATACATGGAAATACGACTTCTGACGATTCCAAGATTAATTCTAGCGGAGGCGGGTGTTTGATGGATTGGCTGCTGCGGCTGCGGCGGTTGCCGCCAGCAACTGCCGCAGCTGGCGCGGCGACCGCCGCTGCCGCAGCAGCGGCGGCCGCAACGGCGACCACGCCGCGGCCACGCGCCGCAACGCCCCTGCGGCGCGGAAGGCGCCGAAGGCGAATGTGAGTAGCGCCAGCAGCGCTGGGGCCGGCGGGCGGCCGGGCTGAGGCGGCTGACGCGCGCGAAAGCGCGCGCGCCGGCCGAGGGGCCGAGGGGCCTCGGCGTCCACCGCGGCGCCTCCAGAGGACAGCCTGGGGCGCCGGCCGCGGGCGGAGGGGACCGGAGCCTGTTTTTCTTTACTATCCGCGAGAACAGGCGTGATCGGTGGGGGGGGGAGGGGGGGCCCGATCACATCACGGCGGGTTTCGACCTCCCGGGGCCTTTTTCGAACCCCGATGCCCTGGGGCGCCGGCTGAGGGCGGACAGCCGAGGGGCAGCGTCCTTGAATTCTGGGCCCCATCCATCGAACGTTGCATCGGTCACCACGCCAACGTCGTCTGATACTGTGCTATCAAAGCGCCTGCGAAAAAGTCAGACAATTGAGGCCAAGCCGTATGTCAAACCCGAGGCACAGCTTCGCTAGGCACACGCCAGAACTGTCTAGCCTGGAGGGCAACGCCATCGAAGGCGGACGGCCGTCTGGTGTCATGGGGCAAAACGACAACGGCCGTAGAGCCCATGCCTGGGCCTCTGCAGAGGCCCCGCCCCGGGCCCCAACTACCGTGAACAGAGCGGCCCGCGGCGAGAAGCCTTGTCTCTGGGAACGGGGTCGCGACAACTCGAACGCGTGTCGGTCGTGTCGCTGTCGCTGATGAGGGCGTCGTCGTGGCGCCCGGCGCGCGCGACTGGGCGACGACATGGACGTCGGAGTGGGCCAGGTCCTCCGGAAGCCCACCAGCCCTTCAGGGCGTGAGTGGTTTAAGGCGTTTCCTCTTCCAACCCCCTTCTTGTCCTTCGGGGAGGGCTTTACCCCTCCCCCCCCTTCCCCTCTCTCCTCCCCCTGGATCTGGTGGGCGGGGGGGATGGACGCGTCCAAGATGGCCCAAGATGGCTCTAAGAGGGCCTCAGAGCCGAAAATGGCCTCCAAGATGGATCAGGATATCTCAAGATGGTTCCCGACATGATCCAATCGGCCCCAAGACCGCCCCAAGACGGCTCCACGTGGCCACGGAGCCCCCGAAGGAAGCCGCCAAGAAGCAAAGCTCAGTCAAAAGCCTCCGTGGAAACAATGTGTTTGCCTTCTCGCCTTTTCGCTGTCGACGTCCGATACCTCAAGATGGCTCCAAGAAGGCCCAAGAGAGCCTCAAGAGGAGCCCAGCAAGACGGCCGCAGGAGCGACACAGAGCGCTCCAAGTTGTCCAGTAGGCGATTTCAAATTACGTAAAGGGGGGACCGTCATTGCCCCCCCCCTCCTTTGATTGAGCTCCTCCAAATACTCCCATGATGGCCTCCGAGGCCCCAAGCAGGGGCCCAAGAGGGCCCCCAAGAGGCTCCAAAAGGCTCCTCCGAGGCACTAGGACGCTCGAAGAGGCCCCTGGGACCGCCAAGAGGATCCCAAGACACCCCAAGAGGACCCCAAGAAGCTCTCAAGAGACATCCGAAGAGACTCCGAGAAGCAACCAAGAGGCCTCTGGCCCTTCTGCTCGCACTCTTCCTCCTCATCCTTCTCCTCCTCATCATCATCAACCGACTATTTCTCCTCCTCCTCCTCCTCCTCCCTCCGCCCTCTGCCCTCCCCCTCCCCCTCCTCCTCCTCCTCCGATTCCTCCTCCATCCTCCCCCTCGTGGGGCGTGACGGCTTCACCAGCCCATTATTCAACTGCATGCTTCTCAACATCCCTGATCAGGGCAACTCGCCTGGGCATCGTTTCTGGATGGGCTGGTGGGGTTACTTTTTTGGTTGGCGGCTCCAGGACAAGGATCAAGAAGCGGGATAAGGCTGGTGGGGTTACGCGAAGTGTCTAGAATGCATCCCCTGCCCCATCTGCGACTCCCAGCTCTCGCCATCGCCGTCGTCGTCGAAACTGTTTCCCTCCTGCTCCTCCTCATTCCCTCTCCTCCTCCTCCTTCTCCTCCTCCTCTTCCTTACTCACCCCCCCCCACTTCCTCAATTTCCGTTTTTCCCAAGGTTCCAATGCGTCACGCCCTTACTGTCAGTGCCTCTCCTTCTCGGGTGGGAGCTGACGGGGCGTTTGTAGGACGGGGCGCGAGGCAGGCAGGACGCAAGGGGCCCAATGAAGAAACTGGGGGATCACTGGAAAGCTGCTCGAGTACTGGAAAAACAGAGTATCGTCGCACCTCTTGATCAAGTCTGGCCCGCTCTGGAGACCCTGCCTCTGAAAGTCTTGTTTGCTCTCTTGTTCTCCCGCCGCACTCCGCCGACCTGCCGCCAGCTTCCGTTGGCGGACCCGCCGATGCCATACTGCTGCCGGCCTCCATCGAAGGCGAGGTGCAACCAGGCGAGATGCGCTTCGGCGTTCTCTGAGGCACCCGATTTGTCTCACAAATCGACCAGAAGGCACTCCGCCACGCCGCGCTTCCTGGTCATCGCCGAGAGGGCGCCGTTCCGCGCCGATGGCACAAATTGACACTGCTTCGAGCGATCCCCAACGGGAAACTGTTGTGAACGGTGTCAAAGTGAGCCTCGAATTTTGCCCAGAGCAGACACACAAAATGAGTCATCTTGCTGTGCAAAATGTTTGGGAACATTATTCATCGGTGTCCGATGGCTTTCAAATGCCACCGGGCTCCTGTGGTTCCGTGGGGCACCGATTTCTCATGTCATGTGCCTACCGTGTTGGCTGTGCTGGGCCATGACTTTACCCTCGGTCCACGATCGTGTGTGCAGTCGCACCCAGGCTAAAAGAGCATCCCCCAAGAATCTGAAGCCCTCCACCGGCCAGACCACGCAGAACGCCCAAGGGCACCCTCCCCCAGGATGCCCCAGAACGCCCCTCGAACACGAAGAACACGAGGGTACCCTCCCCGAACCGACCTCGGCCTCATACCTCGGTCCGCCTTTCCTCGGCTAGGGGGCCACATGCGAACCCTGCCCATACCCCACACGATTTCTGAGGGGGAGCGTGGGGTTCGCTCCGCTCGGGAGCTCCCCCCCCTCCCCCTCCCCCTCAGAAATCGTGGGGGGCAGGGGTAGGGTTCGCATGTGGCCCCCTGGTGTAGCCCACCTCGCGCGACTCCTCGCGCGAGCCCGAGGCCGCCCGAACGCCGCGCCGCCCAGGCAAGCTTCCGCCGCCCGAACGGGCCTCCCTCTCTCTCTCTCTCTTCTCCTCCCTCCGCGTGCCGCCTCCCCTCTCTTGTTTGTTGTTACTAGGCGGCGCGCCCGGGGTGGAAATGAGAAGGGGCTGACCTTCTCAGAAGGCTCGGAAGTCCCCCGGCCTTCTGAGAAGTTTCCCAAGCATTCCCCGAAGACACAAACAACATCTTCGCAGGCGCGAGGGCTTCTGAGAAGTCCCGCTGCCTTCTGAGAAGGCCTTCTCCTTCTTATTTCCCCCCCCCCCTCGCTCGCCGCCGAGTTACGCTGCATCTGCAGGGACCCTGTCGAATCCATGTCCAGTCCGCGTCGGCTCCGCCTCGGATCCACGCCGATTGAGCGTCGACTATACTCGAGTCCATGCCGACTCCGCGTCGAACCCTCCGCGTCGAACCCGCGTCATAAGCAAGAAGCGACAGTAATCTGCAGAGTAGGCATAAAGTCCCCCGAAAGTGCAACGTGCAATTTCTGTACGTGCACATGTTGCTACCGCGCAGCCCAACGTAGCTCCGACCGTGTCGAGCCTCTTGCCCTGCGGGCCAAAACACATACTCCTACTTGCGACGCGTTCGTGCAAATCTTTGACTTCTTCACCAACTTCGCCGGCCAATATTGTAACATCCTTGCCACTTGCCTGTGTACCCGTTGGCAACCAGAGGTTGTTGCGCGGTGGTGACTCCCCCAGACTGTGGTGTGAAGCTCGCACGGGGGAGAAGCAGACGTATTGAGTACACCGCTCAGCGGAGCACAGCATCGAAGTCCGGAAACACGAGCAGGTAGACATCACAGTTGGCTGTCGGCATCTTGGGGGCCTCTCGGAGGCCTCTGGGAAGCTTCAAAGCCTCTCCTGGCGAAGCTGAAACGCTTCTCAGGGCCTCTTGGGGCCGTTTTGCGCCTCTTGGGGCCTCTTGGGGGATGTCTTGGACAATGTTGGGCCACCTCTTGGCAAACTTGGGACCCGCTGAAGCTGGCTGGGAGCTATTCTCCTATAGTGTGGTGACCCCGAGGCCCGCCACCCTTGGGCCGCTCTTGTGGGGTCCTGGAGCCCTCAGAGGGCTCTTCCGGACCTTTTGTTGGGGCTCTCAGGCGAGGCCACCTGCCCGAAAGACCCCTTGGAGCCCGCAAGCGCGGAAAAGCCGTGATCATCAAAAACTAATTTATTTTTCAATGACGACTTGTCATCGCTCGGACGCCATTTCCCTGTGCATGTTTCGGCTTCGTGCGTCAATTGTTTCGCCAGATAGTCTAAATTGCTCCTCGATGGTCCTCGCCGGGGGAAAAATAAGCACACGTTCGAGCGATGTCAAGCGATGGCTCCGTGGGAACCTCCGAGGAGAGGTTTTGGACCACATCGAGCATCATTTGCCATCGATCTGGCTGTCTTGCGCGAGCTTGGACCATCTGGGGCCATCTCGGTGACACTTTGGTGCCTTCTTGGGCCAACCTTGGGGTCAAATTGGAATTACTGGCCCGCGCTCGCTCTGCCCGCGCTCTCGGATGGCATGTACTTCGGCTACTGTGAGCCGTCTTCGTGTCCGTTAGGCTACGGTGGGGGCATTGGGTAAGGAACCCTTAGATAAGGATTCCAGGGTCTGGAAACCAGTGGAACTCCAATCGAGGCTTGGCCATGGATACCACCGCCGCCCTCAGTGGATAAGGAATCCTCCAGGGTCTGGCACCTCCTGGGACTATTCCTTAACAAACGCTTCCACCGTAGCTTGAACATTCCTTGGCCGCATCGGGGCCATCTTGGCAGCATCTTGGCAGCATCTTATAGCCAGAATGAGGCCTGACACACATTGGCCGAGGCTCTTGCGGCGCTGTCGCCCGCTCGTCGGGCGCCCTTGGGGCGACATTCGGCCCCAGCAAGGTCCACAGAGCCCCCAGAGGCGCCCCAGACCGTACAACCTGATGCTACGTGCCTGCAAGATCCAACATGCCGTTGGCCCGCTGGGGCGGCGCTTCCTGTGTGTGGTATGCACACGTGCTCTTTATCTGTGTTAGTGTTGCCAATGTCTCGCTGGAAGCACTGCAGGTGCTCCACGTAATTTTGCTATACACACATATATAGATGTATAGACAGCGCATCTGAATTTACATTTCGGAATATACGCGTATACATGTATACGCATGCGTTTGTGCTCGCCCTGCCCCTGAGTATTCTATGCGCACGCACAAACACATACGTAGATACATACACATAGACACACATATATATATATATATATATACAAGACTGCAGTTGCGCTTCGCGCCATTCACCTTGGTCCTTGAATTTTGGTATGCAGGCGGAATAGCAGGAATGTCAAGCCGACAATTTAGAGATAACTCCGTATTGCCTTTTCAGGCATGGTCGCTATAATAATGTTATTCGTTATCCTTCCTCCATGCTTCTTTTTCGTTATTTTCGCCGTACCCTGCGCATTCTCCCCATCCTCCTCAGCTCTTTTTTGGCGGAGGCTCCTCCTTGGAGAGCCTCTGGGGGCCTCACAATACATGTTTCAGGCTTACTTAAGACCTTCTGGAGGCCTCCTGGGCGTATTCTGGGGGCCTCTGGGGACTTACTCGGGCCACCCTGCCTCCAACCGCGGTCTCCCTGAACGACCGGGTCACGACTTGGAATGCTTCGGAGGGTGTCTTGGGGCCATCTTGGGCCGCCATGGGGCTCTCTGAGGGCCATCTTGGACCCGTGTTGTGCCGTTTTGGGGCTTTCTTGGACTGCCTGGAAGCCCTTTCGGATGGTTGTGGGGCGATGCTGGAGCCTCCCAGGCGGCTTCGGACGCCAAGAAGACTGCCGTCTTGGGGCGTCGGGAAGCCAGAAAGAGGAGAACCCCAAAATTCAGCAAAAACCAACATTGTGCCTCTTGGGGCCTTCTTGGGAGTGCTCTTGGAGGCCTCTTTGAGGCCGTCCTGGAGGCCTTTTGGGCCATCTTAAGGTCACGTCGGTCACTCTTGGAGCGCTCTTGTGCTGTCTTGGGGGTCTCTGGGACGTCTCCGATGACCCCCCTGATCGCCCTAGGTGTGCTGGAAAGCCTTGGCAAAACGCCCTGCGAGGCCCGGGGGGCCGCTTCGAGGCCCGTCCGGAGGGTCCCAAAGCCCCAGATCCCGGGAGTCCGATTTTTTTTTTGGGGGGGGGAACGGGTGTTCCCCCCGCCTGGGCTTGTAAAAATATAGGGAGAGGAGTACGTGTGGCTGTAGATGTATGTACGTGTGTATACTAACGATTTCGCGCATCTGGCTTGTAATAGAACTGGCATGCTCGATGCTTATGCGTTGTGCCTGATGTTCGTGAAAATGACTTCACTTGTGCTGGTGATGAACGCCTGCTACGGATGCACGTGTTGTAATGCCGGTGTGAACTGTATGTTGGTTGGCTCCTCCTCCTCCTCCTACAAATGCTGCTTAGGAGTATTGTGCACGATTGTGTAGCTAAGTGTGGGTGTACGCATGGTGGCCACGTTGGGTACGTGCGTACGTCTCTACGCGTGCCAGACATACGCGCGTAGACGGCATGGGCGCCTATTGGTGGTATAGGTTCGTTACGGCTGCTACATGTTATGTATTTCTGGAAAGTGCTTGTCATTAGGTGGTGCTGCTTTTTACGTGCGTGACTGGTCTCTGACATCCACGTGCTTCTCATATAGTTAAGTCATGCGTGATTCGTCAATGCGCACGTTCACGGACGAAGTTTTGACAAGCATGGTATCAGATGTATGTGGTGCCTGTCCTTTGTGTATGCGTGTATGCTGCTGTTGCCTGCTACGAATGATTTCTGATGAGGTGTGCTCTGCTTTTGCTCGTTCTAAACACGTCTTGCCATCGTTGGTCGGGAACGCGGGGCGGGGCACCAGGGACACTAACGGGATTAATGGGGTCTGGCGGTCGCAGCACGCATGGCGGGCAAGGCTGGGCACCAGGAACTCTCGCGGAGTACTGGGGCCTGGCCACCTCGGCATGCATGGCGGGCGACGCGGGACACAGAAGAACTCTCGAGGAGTACCGGGGCCTGGCGTCCACAATCAAGGGACTTTCGGGGAACATCTCGGCCGCCAACTTGGCCTTCAAATCCGACAATCCCAACCTGAATTTAAAACAAGCCGCTAGCGAGCGCTGAGCGCGCCTCCGGCCAGCCTCCCCTCGCGGCGTGCGCGCGAGGCGAACCTGCTCCCCGGGACCTCCGAGCGAGCGCTTGTCTTTTAGTGCCGGCGTTTTTTCCCCTGATCTTGGCCTATTGGGGGGCGCTTTCCGGCCCCGGCTATCAAGAACATATCCAGGATGGAAAACGACCCAGGGAAGGGGTCGGGACCTCTGGGGTCCGCGGACTGGGTACCAAGAATACCTTTCACATATCATGGCCCCCGCTTCCCCCCGGCGACTTGCGGGGCACATGCCTCCGGCGCCCTTGGGGAGCACGATCAAAATGAATGACACGATGCCGTGGACTCATACGTGCGTGCCTGCAGAAGAAGCGCAACGTATTCTGACAATAACAGAAGCGTGGCACGCTGGTGGGCTCCAGGGCTCCGAGCGGCAGCGTGTCATTGATACTGTTTTTCCCATCCCGGGTCATCCTTGCGCCACTAGAGTGGATTCCCGCAGGTGTCGACGCCATCAACCGTATGGATTTGGCGCCCCCGGGCTGCTTCTTGCGGACCCGTGGGCCGGAAACGGGCCTGTGGGGGCCAAATTCCAATAAGGGATAACAAACAAGCGGAACCAACCGCCTCGGCTTCTTGAGAACGCCGCAGGGTCTGGGCACGGAGGTCGCGCCCCCAACCCACGGCACATCAGATAAGAAACTATTCTGCCACGAGGGTGCCCCACGAAAGCTCCTACCTCCAAATGGCTCCGCAGAGCCCACAGGGTACCTTCCGAGCTCAGGGTCGACGAGGGGTGCGCCCCTGGGGTTCTCATAGCAAGACGTCCTTTCGTACGGGCCTGCCGCCTGCCCCAAGCATCCGATGCCTGGTTTTTGCAATACGGGGCCCCCGGAAGGTCCGAATACATGTTCGACGGCCCTGGGGTCCGGCGAGGGCCCCTGGAGCCCACAACCACAACCAGCCAAACACATTCCAGCGTGACTTTTCCACGACGCGAGGCTGTCTGGAGTTCGGGCCATAACGCGGGCCTCCAGCCGCCGTTCGGGACGATCCGGGCACCCCTGGAACGCCCTCGGCGAGACTCGCAGCCGCTGGAGTGCATGCCGAGGCAGGGAAACCTCCGAGAGCCAGCGAAGAGGCCCAAAAACCTCGCGGCGTATTATTGTCACGACGCGAGCATGCCCGAGAAGCCTCCTGCTTCCAAGGCTATCACAGCAAGATGTCCGATCGCATGTGCCTACTCCAGTGGCAGCTGATGGGAGCCTCCCGTGCCATCTTGCTAACCGACGCTGGTCGGCGCTAAACTACGCTACTCGGCGACAGTCGACGCATCATGGACGCTCATCGACGCTGACTCTCCGCTTTCTCATCGATTGCCAGACGCTTAGCGCAGGCGAGTGCACTCCAAAGACGGACCTGCGAGGACACACAAGGCCCCCATGATTCGCGAGCGCCGCCCACCGTATAGCAACATCTCGCCGGCAACCCCCCCTCCCTGGGGAGACCAAAAGGTACCCGCACCACTGCTCCCCGGACCTCTCCTGGGGTGCGTGCTGCCCAGAGCTTCGAGGCGACTCCATCGGTGGCGACGCGGGCCTCCGAGGAAGCCCACAGAAAGGCGAAAACGGGGGGGCAGCGGCGTGGGCACCCTTCCCTCTGCTGGACATCTCTCGCTGGCAGCCCCCCCCCGGGCGGCCGCTCTCTCTCCGCGCCGAGGGCGCCCAGCTGCTTCTGCAGCGCCTCCGCGTCGGTCCTGCGGCGCGCGGGAGCCCGGCCCCCACGGAGGCGCGGGGAGCCTCGCGACAGCGGCCACGCACCGGCTTGGGCTCTTGCCCGGCCGCGGCCGAGCCAACTGCACACCTGACGGGCGGGAACTCAAAGGAGGAGAAGGTACCGATCCCGCTGCCTTTGCCTCGTGCTCCCCCTCTCCTGGGAGGCCCTCGCCACCACCGCTGGACTCGATGGGAGGATAAAACAATGTGGGAGGATAAAACAATCAAGGACCAGGGGCCATTTCTGCAGATGAAACGCACACCACACCGCCCTGGATCACGATCCCCAAAATGCAAAGACGGGAACTCACGTGAGGCCACGTCTTCACTGTTATGAGGGCTGGCAGGGCGCGCCCTAGGAGAGGTCCGGGGAGCAGCCAGCGGCCGCCGAGCACGGCAAGAGGAGGGGGGCTCGCAGCATGCCCCCCGCCCTAAGACGAGGCCAAGACGAGGATAACATCGGGCGAACATGGACCGAGAAGGTCTGAGATCCGGCAACTCTGGAGGATATTTCGGGCGCCGCGGCCTTCTCAAAACGTTTCGGAAGAATCGAGAATGTCTGAGATCCGGCAACTCTGAAGATATCTCGGGCGCCGCGGCCTTCTCAAAACGTTCCGGAGCGCTCTGAGAGCGTGCCGGAACGCTCTGGCGGGGATCTGTCCTCGTCCCAGACCCGTCCGCCCCCCCCCCCGAGACTCGAGGAGACGCAGACATCGATCAGGGCGCGTGGATCAGCGGCGGGTCCCGTTCCCACACCTGCCGGGCGAAGGAAGAGAGGGCGGTTGCGGACCACCCCCTGCGGGCTGTCCCGTCCGGGAGTCCAGCTGGTCTGGGCTCGGGGCCCAGCCAAGGACGACAAGACAAGACGGTGCCGCACCCGCGGGCGCGGGTCACACGCGGGAGGCCAGCCACAGGCTCCCAAGAGGCTCGCGGGAGGCACTCCCGCCAAGAGCGCCAACAGTCTCTGGAGAATCAGGGCGGCGTCTGGTGAGGCTTCAAAGGCGGCCTACCAGATGGGGTCCGGATAGATGGGATGGGGTCGGCGGATCGCGCCGCACCGCCGAACCATCGCCGATGCCTCGACGAGGCATCCGCGACGTCGGTGATGCATCGGCGCCGTCGGCGTGGAGAATCTCGGCCTCCATCTCGAGCCGCATCGCTGATGCATCGGCGATGCGGCGCGATGATCCGATCCGATCTACTCGGACCCCATCTGGAAGGTCTGGATTCGGGCTGCGCACAGACAGCCCCCTCCAGCTAGTCCCAGCTGGCCTCAACAAGCCGCCGGAGTAGTTCAGGACGGTCTCAACACCATGGCGCCGCCTCTGGCGGCGCCCCTGGGGCACTCCGCGCCCCAGGGCTGAGGTGTTGAGACCGCCCTGGCGACTCGGGGGACCTGCTGAGGCCAGCCGGGACTGCCTGGTGGGCCTGTCTGTGTGCAACACGAAGCCTCACCACTCCTGCCCAGGACGCCAGCGTCCCGAAAGAACCAATCGGCGGCAATCCCCTGGAGGGAAGGCAGCGGCTGACCATCGGAGCAGCTCAAACCTCCTCCGAGTACACGAGCGGCTTCGAACAGAGGCTGGAGGGCTCCTGGGAAGCCCCGCCGCCGTCCGAGCAGGCCTGCACACTCCCATGACGCCCTGGGCCCGCCGCCGGGGCAAGATGCCTTCTGGTTCGGACCGTCGGCGTCTGCAGGCCGTTTTCGGGCCCTGGGGCCACCACCACCACCACCACCACCACCACCACCACCACCACCACCACCACCACCGAGCCGTGCGTCCGGAGGGGCGCGTGGGCAGGAGAGTGCGCGATTGGCAACTCTTCAGGAACATCTGATTGAAATGACATTGCAGAGCGAATGCGTGCCCGCACAAACCCGACTGTGAAGCAGAAGCGGAATGCCTCACGACTGTGTCGCGGAACACCCGAGCGCATCACGACTGTGAGCCGTCCACAAGAGAAACCTGAGATGTGAGAAACCGAGACCCGTCCCGGGGAACGGGTCGGGCGCTCCAGGCTCCCCATCTTGGCAAAGAATCATGGCGTCGCCAGTCCAGGCGCGTCGCCTGCCTTCGCGGGTGGCGCCACGCGAGGCGCGCTTCAACCCGCGCTGCTGGAGAAGAGCGCCCCTCTGGGCCAGGCCGCGACGTGCGAGGCGCGGTTGTCTCCGCGCCCCTGCAAGTGTGCTGGTGCGCCCTCCTCCCCCCCACCGTCCCCTTCCCCACCCCCTTGTCCAGCCACTGACACCTCCTGAGCGACCGCCTGTCTGCACATTTGGAGGAAAGGGCGGCCACGGATGCGATGCAGGGTACAGGGCCAAGCAACAGGAGGCGAAAGTGAGCCAGGCGCGAAAATTAGGGCGCGCCAGCGCTAGGCAAGGGAGGCACTCTGACGTAAACGAGGGCGCTGCCCAACCTTCCTTCCTCGCGCCTCTCCATCTCCACGGACACGGGCGACGAGCGGGCGACCCGTGGCGCGCACCTTTCCGAACGGATGTGTCTGGCAATGGCGTCAGCGTCTCGAGGTGGACCATACCGGCTATCTCTAGGTCCACCCGTGCCCACCAGGCTGCCTGAGAGCCAATTGATAGATACATGCGCGTCTTAAAAAGGGCACTCCTAACCCCCTGCATCCACAAGGGCGGTTGGGCACGTGTTCTCGAACGGGTGGAGGCTTGGTTGGAGGAAGGGTAGGAGGATGAAGAGGGGCGGAGAAGGAAGGCAGATGGGCAAGCTCCGTCGGAAGGTCAAACACCCACCTTGATACATACCCCATACCGTGCCCCTTTTCACTTGAGATTCGCGACACCGCGGGGTGCTTGAATGCACGAAGCGTTCTGGACACTCGTGTGCGGGCGTCTGCAGTCGCCTCTGCTCTGCGGCGTTCGGGCACACGGCAATGAGGCACAACAACCATTTTGGTGCCACCGCTGCGATGAATAATTCAAGGCTTCTCTGTCGCGAACGACATATGACCTCACAGCAGCTCCCCACTGCGGAACTGAGGGACACCAATCCAAAATCGCCAGGTGAGATCCGAACCCACAAGCCTTCACTGCGGACCGTGGGTCCGCGATACGAGAATACACCTCGAGGTAAGTTGGGGGGTCGTGCCGCTCTCGGTTCGCGATTGGCTTCACAGCGGGAGGGGAGTCGAATACCCTTCGGCCGACCGAAGCATGCACATGTCCTACTCTGTAGCGAACTGTGCGGTTGGCCCTGGGACGGCCCACCGGCCTGACACACACTATAGCCATACCTTGTTTTTGTCGGCGCGCCGGCACGCAACGAACATGTAAGGAAATTCGGCCCGCGAGTGCGAGCGAACGCTGGCGAAGAGGACGAGGGGAAGGTCGAGGCGGAGGGGCAAGGGCGCTGCACCGAGAACCCCACATGGCCCGATCGGCCACCTATATAATCTAAAAAAACACACAGCGCAATTCAGAGGGAAGGAGGAAGGATAGGAGGAGGAGGAGGAGAAGACAAATAATGAGGAGGACGAGGAAGGAGGAGGGAACACCTTCACACAAAAACTCGCGCGTGCACAGGCCGACACTGGTAGACAGCACCCGCACAAACGCCCCCGCGAGCAGCATCGGAGGAGGGAGGGCGGGGGGAGAACAGCAGCGAAAAGAGGGAAGACGAGGAGGAGCAGGAGAACTGAATGATACAACTATGGCCCGAATTCGTATCATCACTAGCGAAACGGGCGCGGCAACCTGGAATGTCAAACACGCAAGCAGAACGGCCACCGCTGGAAGATGCTACAAACAAAAACGGCGACGGGGAAGGAGGGAAGGGGGAGGGCGAGGGGCGACGACGACAGACGACCGACAGCGACGGCGAGAAACCGGAGAGGGAAGGGGAATGATCTATTGCTGGCGCGCTTGTTCGCGCGCTAGACGAGCCCTGCCAACCTGCCGTGGCCGCGGACCGCTTCGCGCACGTAACCGGCGAAAGCCTCGGCACTGCGCGAGTCCGTGGCGGACAACGCCGTGCACGCGAAAGCTGGCATGTACCGACGCAGCCTTCAGCGCCTGACACTCCTCGTTCGTCAGGCTGCCGTTGTACTCAGCCACGCCCGGCTCAAGACCGATAAATTCCGCGATGACCAATCCCATGGCAAGGCGAGATAAACCAAAGTGCCTCCGGCAGAGGTCGTGGTAGGCAGCGCAGTAAGCATAGTGTATGATGCTGTCTTCGCCGCCTTGAAATTGAAAACGCCTGGACGTCGTCCATCCGTTGAATGCCGCGCGGGTCCGTGCAGCAAGCACCCTGGGCGGGACAAGCACCGAGGTGCCAATGGCCAGTCGCAGCCACCGATCGACTCGCCGCCCTGGAAGGACAGGAACGACCCAATGGTCCAGGCGTCTGCGAAGATACCGCATGGCATCAAATGCGCGAAATCGGCGGGAGACCGCCGCTTGCCAACCGATCCTGTTGTGCTCGGGGTGGGCCACGTCCAACACACTGGGGTCGTCGCCGAAAGCCGCCCAGGCCTCGTTCAGCGCAGCGTAGAAGTTGAGGATGAAGGAGGATGAGGAGGAGCGAGCGCCCCAGAAACGTCTCGTCGCCTCACCCGCGCTCGCGCCCAGCCGCGCGTGCGCCCGCCTCGAAGCCTCTCAGGGGCATCGTGTCAACGTCGAGGGAGCCGCCGTCGAGGAGGGGCTCGGTGACGTCACCGACGTCGGTGTGGACGTCCATGAAGTCGTCGAACTCGTGATGAACATCAGGTACATGATCAGGGAAAACACCTCCCTCGAGCTCCTCCGCCAGCTCAAGAAAGATCGGGTCGGACTCCAGCAAGTCCGTCGGCCAGTTGTCGGCATCATGGATGAGCGGGAGGAACTCAGGATCTCCCCCTCTTCAATAGAATCATCATCAGCAGGTCCAGGAAGCCCATCTTGATAAGTGGTTTCAGCATCTGCAGCACCAGACGGGGCATCCTCAAGCAGGTTGCAAGGATGAAACAATAGCCA